TTTGTAAACCAATTTTAGTTAGATCAAATTCAATCAAAATAAAATATTTACAKAAACAAGTTWTAWTSCACGTCACATCCTTAWCACCTATTKCATGGCAATCCAAAATCATAAAATCATKTRTTTTTTATCATATTAGTCAAAATATTGCAAATTTAAMATGTTTGACAAAAASGTCTCTTGTAGGGCGAACACACATGCCACAATTTAACAAGTTGCCGCTTAGTAAAAGTACCTTTTAGTACCTTAGAAAAAGCACCATCGCCGCGCCCGCACGCGCTTTTTGAACATCTTCGATAAGCCCGGAAAGTTGCAACCGGTTGAAACATGAATCGACTTGTCGAAACGTTTCGGTAATCGCCTAAAAGCAAACATTCTCTGTCCTTGTTGGAATGGTACCCACTGTTTCAGCCAATATTGCCAAATTGTTCATCTTATGGTAATAACTGCTGCTTTCTTAGAAAATGTTTACGTTTTCTAACTATAGCTGAATCCTTACTGTCGTCAATGGTATTCACACATTTTTTGCTTTTTACATTTTAAAGTTATGCCTGTGGGAAGGTGCAAACTAATGTTTAAAATAGCAACAAGTAGTACGTTTTAACCGAATTAAAAATTATTTAATTAGCAATAAGCTGCTGAAATTGTTATACAGTGTTGTGTGACCGAAAATACAAATTTGGGTAGAACCATGTTGAAAACGTTAACGGCCGTTTATTCTGATTGTTCAGTCGAAAATCGACTAGGTACTTTAAAACATCATGAACTTTACTGGCTTTATTTTTCAAGTTTTGTATCAACAACTCCCGATTTTGGGCTCATTTGAGAGAGAATGGCAAATCTTTTATCTGATAAAACATTTAGCCGCGCAATTATTTGTGTTATTATTTAAGTAAATATTCACTTTTTGCACAAATTTTCTATAGCTTTCTGCTTCAAATATTTTTCAGAAATGAAACCCCAAGACGGTACCTTCCGACTAAAACATAAGTCTGACAACGTCGGTTCTTTGTGGTACTACTCAGTACCATGACGTCAGTCATCATTGGTCACATGACTGCTGTAGCACATTTTATCTGCCACTACCGAGCGGAAAAATAATTCGAACAAATTTCGATAAGTCAGTATTTATCTGTGCGTTATACCTAATCCAGTAGTCCGCGCTCTTGTTCCTTTGTTTCTGCGCACAATTGTGTTGTTCGTCAGTTTTTTCGTCAATTCGTCACTTTTGTTTATGTTGTGCGAGTGTGTCAGCAAGCAGTTTGTGTTTTATTTTGCCGTGTTTGTAAACTATTTTCTTTCCCTAAGGTTAGTATCATTATTTCGCTTATCACTTTTGTTGATGGGATTCAAAAATTGCCAAATGCCTTAATTGTTAAACTTTAATATTTTAACAATTTTACTTTGTTATCTCCGGACAAACACTTAGATCTTGATATATCCGGGAAATACCTACGTTCGAAAAATTTCGTTTCGCTCAATATTTGTTTACCGTTTACGTTAATTACAGAGACAACTTTTTCCAATATACTTACAAGCAATAGGTAACCCTTTTGCAATTGGTTTTTATTGTACCTAAAGGTGTAAATAATTTGTAGCGGTTCAGCATGAAGACATTAAAAATACATAGTTTAAAAAATTGGAAGCATTACATCTGATAAATACACATTTTGATTCTTAAAAAAAAATGGAATGCTTTGATTAGACTGTTACAATTTTTTCGAAGTTTATAAAATTGTTATTGCAACAGTGGTGGTGCTGTAATTGGAAAAATTCCGTTTTGTGTCTGCAATTTTCCCAATTTAAGCCAAATGAAATATTCAGAATTTCTGAATATTTCAGAACGAACGAATGAATTTTCATTCGTTTAATAAATATGTTTTTGATTTTATTCAGTTTGCATTATTGAATGAAAATATACCTAAGTAGGTATGCTGAAATATTGCACAATTTATTGGAATGTGTTCTCATTTACCCAGGGTCGGATTAACGTGTGGCAGGGCCTAGGGGTGACGATCCTTGCAGAGGCCCTTTTATAAAAAAAGGTCCGATATCACCATCTTGTGACATTTTGGAAGGCCACAATCCTTTGACGGAGGCCCGGGGGTACGATCCTTGCAGAGGCTCTTTTCTAAAAAAAAAGAAAAGCCGTAATATAGATCTTACGAAGGCCGCCAACATCGTGAGGGCCGGGGCTATAGCTCCCGTAGCCCCCCTAGATCCAGCTCTGTATTTACCACTCCTCAATAAAAACGTTTACTTAAGTATAAAGAATATTGCAATTGCATTTCTCTTTTGCATTAATAAGTTGGAAGATTTGTCCTTACATTTTTTTTTTTGAATATTGATTTTATTTTAATAGGTATTCAGGGTGACCCAAAATTGTAGATTTTGGAAATACGACAAAACGCTTTATTTACATTTACGAGATACAAAGTTGCTAAATTCAATTTTTATCAATTTTTAGTCTTTTAATTAAGTACACATATTACGGTCTTTATGGGCATTTTTCTTCTAATATTTTATGTGGAGCTCCACTGACGTGATGTTCTTAAAAGTTTTTATTCTGTTCTCAATTTGGGAAAAAACTGCTTTTTAGATTCTTTTGATTTAATTGGATATTATTGCACAAGTGTTACAAGGAAACTTATAAAATGACAATCACCAATCTACTAGCAGCCAGAAGTTGCAGCGCTAAAATTCAATACAGTGCAAATCAAAATTGATTCAAGTAAAACCTAGCCAATAATAGCATTATAAACAACAACCCATATACTAATATGGGAAAATATTTTTATCTATTACATATAGTCAGTCCAGTCAGATTAGGCTTTAAAAGGCCTGTTTCAGGCACTAAATAGATGAAGGTTATTGGAAGTTGTTCGGAAGAATGTCAGAATAGTGGGATAATAGTGTGAGTGTGGTTTCCGTCTGTGGAACATTGTTTGAATAATTTAAGTGAAAAAAACCTATTTTTGCGCATAAGTTTTGAACCGTTGATGCTATAGAAAGTTAATACTTTTTTTCAAGTATTAAAATTACCTACAATATACATATAACTAATTTAAAATCTGTTCATTTGTTTACTCAAAAAAACGAAGAAAACCGCCGATTTTAGCGTTTTGTTTTTTAATTTTCTATAATAAATTTAGTTTTGCTTCAAAAAAATCGTACTATAACTTTTTTGGAAAGTCTATGTACACTTTATAAGTGGTATAAATTTTACCAAATGGGAATGAACAAAAGTTATGAATATCTTAATTAACTTAACTAATTAAAGAAAATTAAAAAAAGGTGAAATCGACGTTTTTTTTGGTTTTTAAGTAAATAAATGAACGCATTTTAATTTAGTTTAAAAAGCATCCATGGTTCTAAGGTTATGCGCAAAAAAACGCATCATCAATCAATTTCGCACTTTCTTCAATTATGTAACAATGTTCCACAGCCGGAATTCGCGTTGAAACTCTTGTCCCACAATATTCTGACATCCTTCCAAGCAACTTCCAATAATCTTCTCATCTATTTAGTACCCGGAAAAAATCTAATAGACTCTCTTAGAATATAGGCAATTTAGTTTCGAGTCACCTTATATACTTAACAAATGTTTCACTTGTAAAGAGTGCTAGTTAGACGGACTTGCAACCCTGATTTTGTCAGAAATATCGGTAAATATTCGAAATATTTGCCTGAGAAATACTAATTCTTTTCACTAGAGTAGTAAATTTTATGAACCGTAACTGAACTAATCTGAAGAAAAACTATTTAAAGCAGGGAGACATACAATATGGGTGGATAAACTTTTAAGTACGACATTGAATAAATATAACTTTGTCACAAGAATTGACTTTTGCAATTTTACTTCAAATAAAAGACGTTATCTTATCAGACGCGACTTGGAAATGCCCATTAAATCCAAAGGAAATACACACCTTAGAATTTAATTTATCGCGGATTAGCCTGTTTTGAAGCCACATTGTAGTCAATATAACAGATAACTATTGCCAGATCTTTTCTGATTTATTCAATGTTACTTCTATTTTAGTAGTAAAAACAAGAAAGTAATCTTTCCAATCGTTTGTTGCATGTTTTCTTGTGAAACCTAAATGAACGATTTCTGTCGAAAAACATCACAAATTACTTTGGTTTGAATTAAGAAATCAGCGATTTTGACACCAATAGTAGCAATGATACTTGGGAAGTCGCAGAAAAGAAAACATCGAATGATGCAAATAAACGATAAAAAGATAAAATATCTGTATTTCAGTATTTGGTGATTATTAATAGCGTATTGCAACCGATGATTGAACTTTGATTTTTTATGTGTGCATAACCAGCAAACCTGCAACGCTTTTTGACGTTCAAAATTAAAGATTGTTAATTATTTCCATACTAAAATCAACCACCGGGTAATTTCTTAATTAATAGTAAGCCAACTTTACGGTATATTAATTGGTCAAAATAAAGGAAATCAAGACAGGTATTGCTTATACTTACTTCATATATATTTTTTTATTTTGAATCTATTGGAGGTGCTAAGCATGGCATAATGACATAATCTAACGAAAACCATAAAAATGTTAGCTTTTGTTGCTGACATAAATTTGCAATAAAAACCACTATGCAAAAAGATTTAGAAGACAATATTTAAAGTCCTGGAGGACTTAATTGTCTTATTTTTTTAGTATATTTATTCAAGTATTCTATTTATAAATGTTGATTGTCAAAATTGATAATCCAAATCTGAAAGGCCAGATTTATGTTAAATCAGTTCAACATGTATTGTTAATAACACTAAAAAGTCGAAACCAGATTGTACTTTTTTACATTAAGTATTACTTTTAAAACATTTTTAGTCCATTTAGGAAATGGATGCAATAAAATATGTTAAATGTTAGAATATATTCATATATTGTACAAGTATAAATGAAAATAATTAGTTTTGATCAGTTTTGGTATTTGAAAAGTTCCCAATTTTCATGCACATTTTCTTTGTTTTTCAGGTAAATACTTTTCTACAACTAAGAGAAGAAAACCACTACTCATATGATACAGGCGCAAATGTAAGCATATACTTTAAGACACACCTAACAAATTATAGTGTTATTTAATAATCTGATATATAAATATTCTGTAATATATACATATATATAACTTCTCTGTCTGGAACTTCA